CGTAGGACACCTCCCTCCGTCATGTATCCTTCTTTCTTTGCTTCTGTCTCATCCTTCCTCTGTATTTCCCGCCCTCCTTGTGTCGTCCTTCCTTCTCCCCCCCTTGCTGGCCCTTCTCCTCACTTTCTTTTCCCATCCTCCCTTTCTTTCCTCATTGATGCGTTCCCCAACCCCTTTTCAACAAAGACGCCCGTCTCCGCCGTCGGGAACGAGCCGATCTCCCGGGCGATCTGGGTCGTTATGGCCTCGAACCCTCCAGGCGGCGCAGCTGGAGCTACACCATGCCAGCTCGTCCACTTCTGCCGTCCCTCGCTGGGCTGCAGGTTCGTTCAGAGTTCGTTCAGAGTCTGATCAGACAAGTAACCAGAATAATAAAGAGAGAGATAGAGAGGGTAAGAGGAAAGGAAACAACACCTAACACACCACAAGGACAATACATATGGAACATCAGAAAACGAATGAGTTCATAAACCCTAATCTCCTTCATCGCACCAGCGAGGGCGCAGCGCTTCTCCCCGCTCTCGAATCCAAAACTGACGCCGTCCTGGAAGCCCTGCGCGTAGGCACTGTGCCACACCGCCGATTCGCTGGACGTCCGCGCCTTTGTCACCACTGCCATTATTGCACCCGTTGCTGAGCCCGTTGTTGCTGCATTCGCTGGGGCCGCTGCATCTGCGGAGGCTGCCGCCGCCGCTGCATCTGATGCTGCTGCCGCCCCCGCTGCAACTGAAGCTGAGGCTGCAGTTCGTTTTGGGAGCTTCCTTTCCAGAGGACCGGGAGTCTTTGGGACCCTTGGCAAGCCCTGGGCCTTGTGGTCGCCTGGCGGCGGCGCGGGCGGCGCTGGCGCAGGCGCTGGTGGCGGCGCCTCTGCTCGCCCGCCACGCTGCCCATTTGGCAGAACCCAAGTTGACGTCGGCCGCGCCAGCACTGGGGGTGGCGGCGCTGGGGGCGCTGGCGGAAACTGCGGAACTGCCCAGTGCAGCTCACCGCGCGGCTGCCCTAACTGTGATTGTGGTGGCGGATGCTGCGGAAATGTTGGCTGCATCTCCACAATCCGCCGCGCTGATTTTAGTTCTGGTGGTGACGGATGCAGCGGGGGCTTCGGCTGCCGCTGATCGCGCGGGCACGCTCTCTCGGCTCGAGGTGCCTGTTGTCTCCGAGGCGATGGCTGCGCCGATGGCGCCCTGTGGCAAGGCGCTCTCTTTTCTCGTATCGGCTGTCGCTGCGGAGCCACTGACTGAGGTTGGGGTGTCTGCTGTGGCTCCGGGCGCGGCTGTGGCGTCGCTGTCTGTGGCTGCGCCGCGCGAGTGATCCCATCCGCTGCAGATAACGACCGCGGGCCCCAGTTCTCATCATCATCGGCGGCAGCATCACGCGGCGGAAGCACTTGCGCGTCGGCAGCGGCTGCCGAAGCCGACGCCGACGCGCCGTCCAGCGCCGCCTCGTCACCCATGCGTCGCTACTCCCGCGGGGGCCGAAAAAGAAAGCGCTCCTCATGGGCTGCGCGCTGGGGCCACAACGGTTCCGGCATTGGGGAATTTCTGAAGGAGGACCTGCGTCGAGCATGGCATCGTGGCACCTCAGCGCTCGTCGCGCAGAAGACAAAAGAAATCGCACTTTTTATATATATATATATATATATATATAACTGGTGTCGCAGAGTCCAGCGCCGATCGCTGAGACCCCCGCGCGCTGCGAGATCATGCTCGCGCCCCCCCCCCCCCCCCCCAGGGCACATGGAAGAAGATCGCTCTCCAACGCAGGCCGCGAGGCGCGATTATCCTGGCGCAACCTTGGAGTGGACTGCGGGGGCGACCCTGCCGTCGGTATTTGAAGCCACAGCAACACTGGAACAATCCTGCAAGAAGCACTTGGTTTTCCTGAGGCGCGGGAAAGGGAGCCTCGTTGCCAAAGGAGCAGCCGCCGCGCGAAACGCGCCCTTCCTCGCGCCCCTGGAACAGCAGCACGCAAACACATTGCCAACCCAGACCGCTAGACACGAAAAGCCGCTGGAGCAACTTCGATAGATTGCGGAAAAGCCGCTGTCATCGAAACTTATGTCACAGTGACACCCGAGCACCCAACGAAACTCGCATGAAAGGTCTTGTCGGAGGAAGCCCTGGCTGCCAAAGGATCTTGCGCCGAACGAGCGTGACCATCCTCAAGCCCCTACCACGACCGCACAGAGAATTATCCCACCACACGCAATTGGAGCGATACTCCTCACACGATCTTGGGTTTCTGTTTTTTTTGATCTGAAACTCGATCTGTCCAAAGCCTCCAACGCGCCTCCGAGGACGACACCCTCCAAGAGGCACCCCCGTTGGTCCGGAGGACAAAAAATTGGCTTCAAAACCTCCACCCTGCGCGGTGGGACGTCCGCACGCTGCGAGATCCTCCTCGCAGGGCTTTCGTCGGAGTCCTCCTACTATGTTGCGGCTCAAAGAAACAGAATCTGCATCACTAGTCGCTCCTCCTTTTCTGAACCACCTCATGCCTCCTCCTTTCCCCATACTTGCGTCGCAGCAGCTCAACTCGCCGTTGTTGATTCCGTGCGCGCGTGAGACCTCGCCGCAATGCGTCGGCGACGTCCGATCCGCACCTGTGCTTCAAAGACGTTGCACAGTATCTTCGGGAAAAAAACCCACGAGCCAGCAGGTGAGGGGGACGCCCCTACGTATGTATACATATATATATATATATATATATATGCGTATATACATGCACACATATGTCATATATATATATGTGTATATATATGTATACATATACTTGCGTTGCGGGGGGACGCCCCTGTATCATCTGGCTTATATATGTACATGCCCGGCACACGCAAAAACTAATTGAGATCTGCTCGTGACCGCTGTCGCTGGCGCCTCATCATCATCCGCTGTCGCTGGCGCCGAATGAACACACCACGAGCCAATTCTTGAGCCCAAAGACACGCTGTCGAATGGCACCGCGCAGTGCCACCTCTGTGCACGCATGCCTGCCTATGTTATGTACGCGTGTGTGTACAATATAAGATTGCATGTTCTGTATATATACACATTTGTTACATAAATATACATATATGTGCATATATATATATATACGATCATTAGTACATATAGACGTACCAAGTTGCTGACTGTGGACCTGATGCGAGGCCGCAGCAACCGGCGGCAATTTGGCGCGGCGACATGGGGAGGCAGCGCACAAGAAAAAGCCACGCGCGAGATAGCGAGAGCCAGATTGTTAATGCTGCACGGAAGCCCCCCCGCCCAAGGCCTTCCCAGATATCCCAAGGGGTCGGCGGTGTGGCGTAAGCCCAAGAATCATTGATTTCCCTTGGTTTTTGAAGGATTGTGGCATTTGTTTTTTTTTCTGCCTTCCGACGGCCCGAGACGGCCCAAGAGCCCCCAGCCGAAAAATCGCCCAAGAGGCCCCCAAAAGGGCTCCAGAACGGCCCAAGAGGGCCCCAAGACGGCCCCAAGAGGCCCCCAAAACGCCCAAGATGGCCTCCAAGACGGCCCTGGAGCATTCCAAGAGGGCCCCAAGTCGGCCCATAGAGGCCCCCCAAATGGCTTCCGACGGCGTCTGACGGACCAGGAGCCCACCAAGACGGCCGAACATGGCCCTAAGATGGCCCAGGACGGCCCAAGAGGCCTCCAAGAGGGCCTCCAGGAAGGTCCGAAAAGGCCAAACGCATTGATTCCCCATGGTTTTTGTTGAAGGATTCTGGCATTTGTTTTTTTTGTGCCTTCCGACGGCCAGAGACGGCCCAAGAGCCCGCAAAGATCGCCCATGAGGCCCAAGACACGGCCCCAAGAGGCCCCCAAGATGGCCCAAGAGGTCTCCAACACGCTCAAGGTGGCCTCCAAAACGGCCCAAGAGCCCTCCAAGACGTCCTCCAAGAAGGCCCGAAGAGGGTCAAATGGCCTCCAGACGGCCAAGATGACCTTCAAGATGCCCACGTGTTCCCCGAAGGCTTTCCAAACCAACTCGGGGAACACATGGTCCGATAGCTTGGCAGGTCTGGCCTCAACGTTCGGCCACATAGGCGCTTCCAAAAAGGCAGGGGGCGGCGGTGATTCGCCGTAGGCGTCTTCGATATGTATATGTTTGTATATCTGTGTATATATATGTATATACATACATACATACGTACATACATACATTTATATATACATGTATGTATGAACTGCCGCGGGCATCTACCTCGATGGACAAGAAGTAGCGGAGAAGGACGAGGGGGATGAAGAGGAGGAAGAGGAACAAAAAAGAAAGAAGATTTCGTCGTCGCCGCCGGTGTCTCAGATTTTCGTGGTCTTTCGACCACCCGAAGCATCTCCTGGAATTCAGCCTCCAGGAACCGTTTTCGGCGCCGGGGACCACCGCCGAAAGTCCAAAATGAGGATCGACCTCCCTGGCCAGTGCCACCCTTTCGCAAAAGAAGGAACGCGGGGTGGATCGAGGCTCGAGGCATGAGACTCCTAGTTCTTGGGCGCTCTCCGCCCCCTCTGGGCCTTCAGGAAGTTCCTCGTCGACACAGCTGGGTCCATTCTCGAACTTCTGGCTGGACGCAACCCCAGCTGGGTCTCAACGATCCCCGGGCCTATCCAGGAGGTGGAAAAGGAGGCCCGGGACAGGCCCCGTGAAGGCCACAAAAAGTCACATAAGACCATGAAAAACTTCAAAAGATTGCCCAGCGATCGCGCGCGTTCCGCGCATTCTGTCTTTCACTCTTGCTGCCGCCCCAAGGGGTCGGCGGTGCGGGGTAAGCCAATGAATCATCTCACCTCTGGCCCCTCGGCCAGCCAGCCTACAAACATCTCGACGTCGTATTTTCTTGAAAGGCGTGGGCCCCAAGGAGTCTCGATCCCTGGCCTGGGGCCAGGTTTTCATCAAGGGTGCACTTCTTCACATGCCAAGGGCCAGAAACGGGGGCCCGACCGGCCGAAAATATAGAAAACTGGACAACACGAGCTTCTGGCGACGCGCGGATCTGAGGGAGCCGCCCCGAGGCTCCAGCAGTCCGCAGGCTTGGCGAGGTACGACTCGTCCAGGGCCACCTCTGCCGCAGGCAACGCCCGCCGCCGCCGCCATCGCCACCGTCGTCGCCGCCGCCACGCTCGCGCCGCGCGGGCGACAGTGGCGATCCCAGATATCCGACGTCACGAACAAATTGCAACATCGTCGAAGAACTCGACCTGAGCACTGGACCGTATTTTTCCACGGCATGTGTTGGGCTGGAGCGATCTGTGAGGGCCCTGGGGCCCGACGCAGTGCAAGGTCGCCCGTTGCAACAAACATGCGACGCCAGGATCTCAGAGCTCCCTTGGTTTTCAGGCCACATTTCGGCTCCCCGGCGGCCGTTCGGGACGATTCTGGCACCCGCGGAACGCCCTCGACGAGGCGTAGCTGATGGAAACCGCCCAGGGCCTCGAAAACTGCCGAAAACGTATACCAAAAATTATCCCAGTGCGACCCTACCTAGGAGTTGGAGCATTTAGGAAAACAACATCTACATCTACACCGACAGCTACATTTACATCTACACCTGCATCTACATCTGCATCAACATCAACAGCGAGACTCACATCTACATCTGCATCTACACCTACAGCTATGCTCTGCTATGCTAAGCTATGCTGTGCTATGTTATGTTATGTTATGCTGTGTTATGATGAGCTATGTTATGCTATGCTGAGCTATGCTATGCTATGCTATGGTGTGCTAATGCTGCGCTGCGCTAAGCTAAGCTAAGGTAAACTAAGTTAAGCTAAGCTAAGCTAAATATAAGCTAAGCTAAGCTAAGCTAGGCTAGACAAAGCTAAGCTAAGCTAAGCTAAGCTGAGCTAAGCGTGGTGAGCCCAGGGGGCGTCACTGGGGGAACCGCGGGGCGGATCCTGGGGGAACCGCCCGTGGCGGGGAGCACTGCCCGGCCCTTTAAGCATATTGGGTAAGAACCCTTCTAGGCAGAGCCTAGGTAGGGAACTTTTCAAAACTGTCCAGAACTCCCGAATGGTGGTGGCGATGGCAGCAACGGCGGCGGCGGCGGCGGCGATGGCGACGACGGCAGCGGCGGCGTCCAGGGCGGCCTCCGGGGCGATGCACGGCAGTTCTCCGCACTGCGTGGACGACGGCGTCAACTCTGGGCAGTGCGTCGCCTGGCAGCGGCGCGCGCACGCGTTAACAATAGGAAGAAGCCAGGACGAGGATCACATCGGAAGAGGATAAATCGAGAATCTCTGAAATCCGGCGGCTCTGGAGGACGTATCGGGCGTCGCGGCCTTCTCCGAACGCTCAGAGAGCGTTCCGAAACGCCCTGGAAGGAACTTATCCTAGTCCTAGCCTTGTCGGTAACGAACCAGAGTGTACTATCTGGGGGTTGGCTTTCTGTAGATGAATCGTATTGTGCTTGATGTGCCAGACCAGTGATAACTAGGTTCTGGTAAGCACAGCACCTGGGTAATGAACCCCAATTGGTTACTTCTGACACGCGGGGGGAGGGGGGCAAGGGGCATCTGGAAGTGGCCAGGTCTGGGGCTGACCGCAGGGGCGCGAAGGTAGGCAATCCCTCAGAGCTGGGCGCCACGGAAAAGATCGTGGCGGCTTTTCTCTCCACACGTTTGGCCTTCCGAGGCCCGCTCAGGGCTCCACAAACGATCGGCGCAAGAAAAATCGACTCGGGCCTCCCAACCCCCAGGAGGCGCCTCTGGCGCCGCTTTTTTCGCAGGCCAGGGGCCGGGTTCGGGCAGGGAGGTCCAGCGCCGACCCAAGAAATTCGTCTGGACGGAATCCGGACCAACAGAGGTCTCGTAGATGGGGTCGGAGTAGATGGGGTCGGAGGATCGCGCCGCATCGCTGATACATCGGAGATGAATCGGTGATGCATCGGTGATGCACCGGCGATGCATCGTCGACGTCGGCGATGCATCGGCGACGTCGACGTGAAGCAAATCGGGCTCCACATCGAGCCGCATCGCCGATGCATCGGCGATGCGGCGCGATCATCCGACCCCATCTGCTCCGACTCCATCCAAGAGGCCTAGGACCACTGGGGATTCATGTTTATGTCACAATTTATTTTTCCGGTGTCTTTCCTCGAAAACTCCGACGCCATACAAATTTTCCCGAGGCCCGGTGGTTCGCCTGGTGGAAGTCCACCAGGCGGCAGAATGGCTTGTGAGACTGGTCCTCCAAGATGATGTGCTCCAGAGAGACCTGTCTGTGCACGACGTCGCGTGAGTGGCAGTAGGCCAGCGCTCCTGCTATCTGCATTGTGCATTCCACAGCATCCTCCAAGTCGAGGCGGTATCCTGGCTGGTCCAAGAGGCGCCGGTGCAAATTCGGCATGCCCCCGAATTCGAGGCACAAGTACACCCGTGAGAAGCTATGGAGCATGTGGGTGCAACGGACGATGTTCGGGTGCCTCAGCACGTCCCTCAAGAAGCGTATTTCGCGATAGATGCACTCCAGGTCTCCAGCAGACACGTGGTCCGACTTGTCGTAGACCTTGATGACAGCTTCATCGGGTTGGCACTTACTGGCAAGCAGTACATTGCCGTTCCTTGTTTTAAATCGATTGGTCAGCTGGAAGTCGCCCACCCTGTTGGCCGTCTCAACGAGGTTGCGATCGATGGGGTCGAACTTGGGCATCAGCGATTTTGGAACACTCTCCCATAGCAGCTCATGGTGATACTCCAGCACACGCTGGAAATAGTCGTCGTTGCAAACGACCATCGAATTTGCACGCTTCGCATTCGCCTCGAACCAAGCCCGCTCCTGGTCGAGTATCTGGCGCAGGTGGTCTGCATTGTCACTGGGATCCAGCACCACCGCGTTGGCACCGACGGCCAAGAGTGCGTCGTGGCGTGCCATGACCGTCGTCACGTATTCCCGGCTCATTTCACCGGTGACCTCTGAAGGGGCCCCGGGACACACAAACAAATAGACACAAATATCAGGATTCCCAACATTTTCTTTTATTTTCTGTGTTTTTGTCTTCCCCCCACTTCCCATATTGTCCCATCTTTTCTGGGGGATCGACGATTAATTGTGTCTGTTTTTTCCCATCCTGGACCTCAAGCAGCTGCAGCAGGAACACGCAGCAGCTCTCGTACGGCTCGAGCAGCTCCAGCAACTTCTTCATCGTGCGCTTCTCGTACCGCGTCTCGAACGTGCATGGCACCAGCAAGTTGGTGCACTCGGACGCCACGGACGCGATCTCCTCTGCGTCCCAGTGGCCTTCAGGGGCAGAGTCTGGTGTGACGACCTTCTCGGGTCGCTGCGGCGAACTCCACGGCATCAGTGTGGCGAAGGCGAAGTGCGCGGGCAGCTTCGAGGCCATGCGGGAAACATAGCTCTCTACCGTTGATTGACTAGCCGCCGACGGCAGCCGAACCTCCCTGGATCCCATGGCACAAATCCCGACGGTGATGGCAGGATTCGTGCTGCCCCGCGGCAGCGCAGGGCTAGAAACCGAGACGGCTGCTCTGGGACGGGGTTGCAGGAGGAAAGAATGTAGCATGAGAGTCGGGTCGGACGAAAGGGGGGTCAGCAAGAGGGGAGCTTGGAATCATCTCACGTACTGTAGCCGATTCTCCCAGCGCCAGAGGCTTCAATGTATCGATGAGTGCGCCCGGCGGCGGGGCTGAAACCAGCTGCATGCAGCGGATATCGTAACCCCCCTCTCCCATCTCCCTTTTCGTCCTACCCAAACAATGTGGACGATCCGGGGGCGTGGAAGAAAGAGCCAACGGAGCTCTGCATGCCATCCAGCATCCGACCTGGCCGCGAGAGCTGTGCTTTTTGATGAGTGCTCGATGGCAGACCCTTTGGTGATGCTGACCTAACAGCCATGCGCTCATGTCGATGCGCTCATGTCGAGACATTGGTCACGGTGCCCAGCGACGTTGGCTGTTGCGGCAAACCCAGAAAGCGCCATATCGAGAATTTCGCCACGCTGGACTCTCTTGAAGCACACCTTTGGGGCTCAACTCTCACTCCCGACGGTCTCCGCCGGCTCCCACCAGCGGCGCCGCCCGTCGTCTGCCGCCTTCCGCCGGCATTCCGCCGCGCTCCCGCCGAGGAACGAGCGCTCACCCCTTCGGCCCTCGAGGGCGAGGCCCCTCCTGGAGCGCCCCATGCGTGAAGAACGAAATCGTGGGGACGAGCGCGTCGCCGGCTCGGACGCTGGCACGGGTCTCCTCCTCCTCCTCCTCCTGCTGCGGAAGGGCAGTGCCACCAGCCTCCGAGAGGCTACAGCATCACTGGGCGCTTGCTGGGCCTGTGCGTGCCCCGCCAGCGGGAGTGGCCTACGAGGAGGCTGCCTTCTGAGGCCACCCAGATCATGTTTTTGCTCTGTGTGTTTCTTGCTTGCTGCTCCTCCTGCTCTCCATCGCGCCCCCTTCTCCCCCTCATGCCACCCCGTGACCGCTCGCGCGCTCGCGTGAGAGTGAGACGAGGAGGAGGAGGAGGAGGAGGAGGAGGAGGAGGAGGAGGAGGAGGAAGAAGAAGAGGAGGAGGAGGAGGAGGAGGAGGCCACGCCGCGCTTGTACCTCTAGATCCACTATTTCCCAACCATCCCGTGGTGTTGGGTCCTCGTTTTGAAGAGACAGCGCCCCACGTTCCTTCCTCCTCCCGCTGCTCCCTCCCCCTCCTCCCTCCTCCCTCCTCCCTCCTCCCCATCCTCCCTCCTCCCCCTCTTTGCCTTTGCTCTCGGCACACCTCTCACACGTTTCGTAACCCCATAGGGAGCTCCACCGAAGGCCCCAGTGGAGGGGGGCGCATGCGTCCGCCACACCCAGCACAGCGCTTCGTGGCCCCATAGGGAGCTCCACCGAAGGCCCCAATGGGGGGGGGGCGCATGCGTCCGCCACACCCAGCACAGCGTTTCGTGGCCCCATAGGGAGCTCCACCGAAGGTCCCAGTGTGTGTGGGGGGGGGCGCATGCGTCCGCCACACCCAGCACGGCGTTTCGTGGCCCCATAGAAAGCTCCACCAGAGGCCCCAGTGGAGGGGGGCGCATGCGTCCGCCACACCCAGCACAGCGCTTCGTGGCCCCATAGGGAGCTCCACCGACGGCCCCAATGGGGGGGGCGCATGCGTCCGCCACATCCAGCACGGCGTTTCGTGGCCCCATAGGGAGCTCCACCGAAGGTCCCAGCGGGGGGGGACGCATGCGTCCGCCACACCCAGCACAGCGTTTCGTGGCCTCATAGGGAGCTCCACCGAAGGCCCCAGTGGAGGGGGGCGCATGCGTCCGCCACACCCAGCACAGCGTTTCGTGGCCCCATAGGGAGCTCCATCGAAGGCCCCAGTGTGGGGGGGGGGGCGCATGCGTCCGCCTCACCCAGCACAGCGCTTCGTGGCCCCATAGGGAGCTCCACCGAATGCGTTGCTCACAAAGACGGTATTCACAATTGCATATGGTTGGGTTCTTCGCCAGGCTAATTTCACATGCGGTCCTGCCCTACATACCCTCAACTCTTTACATTCCACCCTTCCTTAATACATATGAGCATATTTTGTCTCCTCCTCCTCCTCATCCTCATCCTCCTTCGCCTACCCCTCCTCCTCCTCCTCCTCCTCCTCCTCCTCCTCCTCCTCCTCCCCACCTCCTCCTCCCTCCTCCTCCTCCTCCTCCTGATCCTCCGATCCTGATCCCTGATCCTGATCCTGATCCTGATCCTGATCCTGATCCTCCTGATCCTGATCCTCCTATCCTGATCCTGATCCTGATCCTGATCCTGATCCTGATCCTGATCCGGATCCTGATCCTGATCCTGATCCTGATGATCCTGATCCTGATCCTGATCCTGATCCTGATCCTCCTCCTCCTCCTCCTCCTCCTCCTCCTCCTCCTCCTCCTCCTCCTCCTCCTCCTCATCATCATCATCATCATCATCCCCCTCTTCAAGAACTACAAGGTTCCCGCCGCCGAGAGGAGAGAGCGCGGCATATCTCAAAGGCGCCACTGTGCCCTCGCGGAATCGCCTCGCCGCGCGGAGGCTGCCGCGGCGGCCGGCGGGCGCCACGGCGCCTCGGGCCCAGACCCCATTCGAGCCATGAAGAGATCACGACGGGAGGCTTCTCACACGTCTCGAGCTCCAGGGGCCCCTACCGGACCTCAGGACCGCCAACAAAACGGCCCGGGATGAGAAACCGGTCCCGGGGGACAGGTCGAAACCTCTGGGGGTCGACGTCGTGAACAGAATTATGGCGTCGAGGGTCTGGGGGGGAGCAGGGAGAGGCCAGCTCAGGGGGGCAGCGTCGACCAGGAATCGTCGATACAGGTCGCCGGTATCGGCGACAGGCCCCCGATAGCGAATCCGAGCGCTCCTGGCCGGGGTGGGCTATTGTTGAGCAGGGACCCACCGTCCCGGCATTCCTAAACTGTAATCCTAGAGAATAGATCCTAACTGTGAGTAGCTTTGCGCTTAACCGTGAGTGATTGAATGCACGCTGTGAGTGCACGCTGTGGTGAGCGCACGCTGTGAGTGCACGCTGTGAGCCCACGCAGTGGTGAGTACACGTTGTGAGCGCACGCTGTGAGTGCACGCTGTGGTGAGTGCACGCTGTGAGTGCACGCTGCGGTGAGCGCAGGCTGTGAGTGCACGCTGCGAGTGCACGCTGTGAGTGCACGCGGCGTCGAGGGCTCGTTGAGCTGATGAGAGCGCTCGCACAGCCTGCGCTCGCAGCGTGGGCTCACAGCGTGTGCTCACAGCATGGGTTCACAGCGTAGGCTTACAGCGTGGGCTCACAGTACGGGCTCACAGCGTGGGCCAACACCATGGGCTCGCAGCGTGGACTCACAGCGTGGGCTCACAGCGTGGGCTTAGAGCGTGGGCTCACAGCGAATTTCCACTCACGGTTAAGCGAATTTCCACTCACGGTTTGGATTCACCTTCGTAGTCCTACCACGAAATGTCATAAAACCCAGAATTTTTTAAGAACAAAAAACAGCGCTCTTAGAACATACACCCGATGTGTTAAAACAAGATAGTCTCAGTCAGACATGTTCTGATAACAAATCGTGCAGACCACGAAAGGTTTTTAGAACATTCTTTGGTGGGCCTCTAAGCGAGCCAAGACGCTTCGCAACTGCTTGATATTGGTTGTGCTCCCGTCGGCGATGACAGACGTCCGGTCGCTCCAACTTTTCCGATGCGCGGGCCCCGGAGGCCTGGACCACTTCCCTATAGGGCCGGTTTTATCGCCCGGCGTCGCTTTTTGACGGTCCCGAGGCCACGCGAGGGCACCGGGAGCCCGAAAACGGTCCAAAACCCGCCGCTCCATTTTTTTCGGAGCGTAGGATCTCGGGGTATTTGTCGGGCCCGCATCTAGAGAGCAGAACATCCACCCACATAAGAAGCATCCCGACAAGCAAAGCCGTTTTGTAAATGCACCCAGGGAGGAATCGAGCAGGGCAGGGCTGTTTATAGTAAACATCCAGGGCAAACGAGCAAACGCCAATGATCGGGATCTGGGTGGTTTTCCCTCCCTTGACCGTCGGCGATCAATGGGCGATTGTGAGCAGGGGCCGACCGTCCTGGCAGTCCAATAGGCCTACCATACCATTTTCTTAGAACCCAGCCATGTTTTCAGATCAGGAACAATGCTCTTAGAACATGTGTGAAACCAAGACGGCCTCCGCCAGAAATGCTCGAAAAACATCTCGTGCAGGCCAGAAGATGTGTTCGTTCCCTAATCAGTGCTTGCACTGAAGGGGTCCCAGCGAATATTCGAAGATGTGGCGAACATTTCCCGCCGATATTGGGTAGCCAACTGGGTTCCTGGGTTCCTGGTCCGGGTTTCCGGGTTCCTGGTTCTTGGTTCCGGGCCGATTTCGGTGGGTTCTGGGTCCCCGGGTTCCCAGGTTCCTGGTCGATCTCCTTATCGATCTTTTTATCGATCCCATTTCAAACCATCCACTGGTTGGGGCTTTTCTCTGGTGTAATGATATTCTCTGAGTGGGCCTGTAGGCAAGCCGGGACGCTTCGCCACTGCTCGACGATTGGAGGGGTCGATGCATCCCCACCGAGCCTGTGGCCCCCCTGACGTTCGGTCGGGCATGCCCTCCTACTGGCTGATTTTGGCAGACAAAACAGTAATAAGCCAAACCATATGCAGAAATGAACAAAAATAAGCAAAACATCGTCACCAGACTACTTTGTACTGTCTTAGAGGGGCACGCCCGACTTAACCCTGACGTTGCCCCTGATCGACGGGGATACCGCCCTGGCGCCGCTGCCCGCGCAGCTCAGGCCACCGCCGCTACGGGCTGCGGGGCCGCCACTGCAGCGGCGCCCCGAGCCCTATCTCCGCAAGGAGCTTGGGCTGCCTGAACCGGGATGCACAAAACGGGGGGTGACCCTGAGGGAGGGCATGAGTTCGATCCGCTGGTGCACCGAACTGCCGCAAACAGATGCCCCCCGCATGCCTCACCTATCGGCAACTATTTGGAGCTGCCGGCGGCTGGGGGGCACCTATTTTGGGCGGCTCGGTG